GACCCTCACAACCTACATCTACCCATCAGCCTCCTGCCCTTTTCCAGACGTGAGTCACGGGCAAGTTTCAAAACAAAGCATGAAGATAACAGCTCTGACCCCTTTGTTCGCCCATCCAGGAAATGTAAATGACCCACCCAGTAACTAGCCCTTCCTCTTGGGACCCACTGCACACAATGTGCCTCAGTGGGAAAGAAAGCAATTGTGTCATTTGTGTCAGTGACTGGGCATCTGGCAGCTTTGCCTCTGACTCTGGCCAAGGAAAGCCTCTTCCAGGTGGGTTCCTAGTATCACTCTCCCACCACTGGCTCTCAGACTCACCCATCTGTGATGCTGGCTTGGGACAGCGGGTATCCCACAGTAAAATTCTATTGTCCTAAAAGAAGGAACAGAAAAAGGGCTTCACAATCCAAAGAAGCAGCTGCTGGCCAGAAGCCCTCCACACTAGGCTTAGGTCTAAAGGGTCTGAGTGCAGTTAGGATGTGGGAAGGGAAAAAGAGATTATATCTCACCTCACCACATGAAAGAAACACAGAATCCTTGTGGGGAGAGGCAGCAACACAGGTGACCTGCCCAGAGTGAGCTGTAAAGGAGACAGAACGAGAAATAAGACAGAGAAGATGCAGGCATTACTATCAAGCAGCCCAGACACTATGAAGGGGCAGGAGGGAGGGTGTGAGAAATAGGCCTAGTCTCATGATGCAAATTAACAAATTCTGTGAGATTTTTGGATTAGATGAAACCTAAGAGGAAATGTTGATATCATTATAAAAACTCAAAAGGCTTGGAGAAAAATGAATCACTAAAGACATGAAAGATAAATTAAATGCTGAATGAGAACAGGAGAGGAATTTACAGTAAAGACATCCTAGAATAGCAGTAGCACACATGCCTCCAGGTAGCATACAAAGACTTCTGAGGGAGTTCTGGACACTGAGGGTTTTAAGGGAATTTCTCTAACGTTATTCTTCCATATTGAACTGAGAAGCTGCCTATAATCTGCCAGCAGTGCTGACCTCTACTCTCACAGTCACACCTCTCACCCACCCCAAACCTTACCATGATGCTCAGGAGTATAAAAACCTAAGGTATAAAACAAAAGGGGCTTTTCCTGAGACAAAGAAAGAGCACTTGTGTAAAATTCTGTGGAGGAGGCTGGCCTTTCTCAGCCATACCACAAACACAAGTGTGGTTCTGTGACTGATCTCTTCTCTTTAATAATGAGAATTTTGAAACATATGACAGGTGGTTGTCATAAGGACATCCAAAAGCTTATCTGAATTTAAAAATGAAGTCAGACTTTTTCTGACTGAAGGTTAAGTCTCACTTGGCCAACTGGCTTAACAGTGCATATGGTTTTTGGCAGTTAGGTTATTTGGTAGATGTTTTACATAAATTAAATGAGCTTAATCTGCAAATCCAAAATTTTGACAAACATATGTTATAAAAGTGTACAATAAATGACATGGCCAGATATAACTTTCTTTGCAACTAGTTAAATTTAAATTAGATACTAATTTTAAAATGTGTGAGAGGGCACAGTTTTTCAAAATTCTTTTAGGGCTACATGCTAAAAATGTTAAAGTTCTCCGCTAAATGTTAATTACAGGCTGTGGAAACCACCTTCTCCAAAGTGATTTAACCAGACTTTCTGAGATAGTCTGAATGTGGCTCTGCCCTGAGACAGAAGTGTGGGCTCAAACTACCTTCCATAGAATCCATGGAAAGCCAACACGAGGAAAAGGAATGTATTGCTCACTTGAAAAAAGCAAAGCTTTGGGACAAACACCATGGGGGAGTACAAAAGATGAAAAAAAATATGTGGTTCCTCTGCTCTCAAGGAATTTGGAATCAGTGGGGGGAATAAGAATAAACACAAAGAACTAATTAAAAAGGCTGAAAGAAACAAATACTGAAAAAGAGTTATTTACCATTGACCAGAAAAACACATCGTAAGTCTAGGAAACAAAAGGCAAGTACAGTAGACTTTGAGCACTGACATTTCAACATTATTGTCTAACTATCTGCAAGTGACCATGAAGCTCCAGGAGATATATGAGTTTATGATTTTGCTTCGCCCATATCTGAATCACGCACTTTGAAGTCAGAACTGGCAGAGAAAGGCACTTAGTCACTGGGGGAACCAGTGATCACCCATATCTACGTCTCTTAGCCACACACACATTAACGCTCTATACATTATCTTCATTAAGATTTGGTATCTTCATGAGGAATGGCTCCCAAAATAAAGTCAACTGCTAGTGCTGCTAATGAAAGTGAGCAGAAAAAGGAACATTAATAGAAAGTGATGGTTCTCACCAAAAAAATGAGATTTTATAGAGGTGAATATTCAAAAGTTCAAGATTCACAAGTATCAGGGTTTATACTTGGAGAATGCCAAAGATCTACTGTGATCGGGTTTAGATAGCATGGTATGCTTGAAGGAGTGACAGGAAAAAGGCTTGAATGCCAGGACATGAACATGAGATTTCAACCTGCAAGCCACAAGAAACCAATGAAAGACTAAAGATTACAGGTAGAACAATGAGATGAGTGCCACCATCTGTAATAAGATAAAGCCTGAAAGTAAATGGGAGCATAAGAAATGGAACAGAAGGTCACTGACGAAATGTAAAAAGACTCCAAAGAACTTGGGGACCAACTGATAGTGGGAAACAGGAGGAGTGGAAGAGGACTGGGATTTTCAGCCTCAGGTGACCAAGAAGGTGGTGAGGCTGTCAATAAAAAAAAAAAATAGGGAAATTATGAAAAGGGCTAGAATCAACATTGGAGCCTGACCGTAGTTTGGGAAGAAATACACTACCAGGCAGGAGAGCAAAGAATTGATACCACTAATATGCAATCAAAGTTCAAAGAGCACAAAGGGAAGAATAAAAACAAAACAACCAAGGCCAGGACTGAAAAGGAAAGAACATGCACCCACCTCGGTATGAGTTCAGAATCATCTGCTGAGCAAGGTCCCAAACTTTGATGCTAAGAAGTAAAAGGAAACAGAGACTTAATTTGACCTACACTACCTACATAAAAACGTGTTCAAATAAGAACGTCCTATGTCTTTACCTACTGGACTTCTGGTACAGCTTACTTTTACAATGGATTGCAAAAATCTCTAAGAAAACCTTATAGGCATGTCATAATTAGTCACTGGGTTCTTATAATGAGCCCAAACCATAATTTAATGAGGCTAATATGATGCTAAAGACACCCAAAGGAGGCCCAGAAACAGGAGCGATGAGAGGAGGGACCCACCAGAAGTCTTTGCTACCACTGACAGCTTGCATGCCAGAGCTTAGGACACTGACTGTAGACACGATGTCATCGTGCTCATACTTGCAGAACTTGCTGACAATTAGTGTCTCATTCTCATCCAGCTCCCACAATTCAACAGCACCTGTTGGGGGTGGGGAGTAGGGTGAGGGAAACAAGCTTGGATTATGCCAAGACAGAAATTCGCTTCTAGGATTCTAAGCTCTCAGGAGACAATGATATGAGTAGCACACAGGCCGTACGGTTAAATATTCCCAGTTATTTGGACACTTAAGTATTTGTTGAACAATTTGAATAAATGTCTTAGGTCATAAAAATATGTTGAATAACATAAAAATATGTTGTACAGTGACTATGTATAGAAAATCACCAAATAGCTGCCCTGAATGTAGAGTGTTTCAAGCTCAATCGCCAGAGAGGCTCAATCTTTAATGTCCCACACTTATCCTTCCATGCAATGCCTGCCAACATCCATATTCTGATTTCTTTTTTTTTAATGTCAAAACCTCCATTGCTGAGTCTGACATTCAAGGCAAAGAAAGCAGAATAAAGACATTTAAGAATAAAATGGGAAGAAATGGAAAGAGCACAGATTGACCTTGGCATCATCTTTAAGATCAAGATTATCCTTGGTTTGGGAATGGGTGGATACAGAGAGAAAAATAGTTCCAATTAATTTCTTAATTTTGCTTTGGATTTTGCTAGGAATTTCCACCAAACAATTTAGAATCTTGGGGAAGGTATTTCCTACCTACACAGTTACTCTCCTTCAGGACCAACACCCTCAAGCTCCCCCAAGCACTGAGTATGGGATTTTAAAAATTGAGCACAGCCCGACCTATACCCATGGCCTCCATCCCACCTGTAAGGTTGAGGAGAAGGTGACTCACCTGAATCGGAAGCCACTAGGATACCTCTGTCCCCCACCCAAGTGAGGTCAGCCACTCCGGCCTCCGTCTGGACTCCAGCGGAGCAGAAACCTTCGTTGGGGGCGGCACAAGGGTCCTTAAAAAGCCAGAGGGAGCCAGCCCAGCAGCGGCCACTCAGGCTAGAAGCCCCGAGCAGAAGCGCCCCATCTAAGGGAGATACAAGTTGTCAGCGGGTGAGGAGTGGAAGGACTAATCTCCCTGTTGACCGCCCAGCAGCCAGCTGGCCGGGTCTGGATCGGAGCCCAGGAACGCCGAGCACGGCTGGGGACTGAGCTCAGCGACGCGAGGCAGGGGTGAGGATGGCATGCGGGGTAAGCGGGGGGCTGGGGGCAGGCTGGAAGATTTAGTCCCGGGAAAGGGCATTCGGGATGGGGTGAGGGAAATCTCAGACCCAGGACCTAGGCTCACCCGACCGGTACCGCGCAGCCTCCAATTGCCGCTCCATACAGGCGGGTGCATTAGGGGGAAGGTTCCACTCCCGGGCCTCCGGGGGCACTAGCGGGGGCGGGGTTTCCTTCCGCATCTCCAGGATTCCAACTCCAACCTAGAGCCAAACTGGACGCCCGCCGGAGACTCAGCTCCGCGAGCCACCACGTGGCTCCTCTATAGGCCTCCGCCCCTCTGGCCAGGCTACAGCCTCTACATCTCGCGAGAATTGCATCTACGATTCCATTCCGCTTTCCAGCGAGCAACCTCTTGCGGCGGGCTCTCAGAGCTTCTTATCAACCAAAAACAAAAATTCGACCGGAAGTTGATGAAAAGGGCACGATGTTCTCTTCCCGCGAGACTTGTGAGCGACCATCTTGTTTCTGCCCCTGACAGAGTCTTCTGTAGCGGTCACTGGGGCGCGAAGACTGTTGTGTGGACGCTACTTGACAATGCTGTCCCGGGTGGTACTTTCTGCCGCCACCGCAGCAGGTGAGAGGTACAGACCCTGGTCCAGGCTAGCAGAGTGATTGCAAACCAGCGCGTCTAGGGTTACTTGGAGCGGGTGGGAGGAAAGGCGGTGAAAGGCGCGGCGAGATTTGGGCCTGAGTGGAGAGTTAATTAGTGCCGCTCAGGAGAGTGTGGGGTCTCGGGGGATAGGAATGGGGGACGCATAGCCTTAGTGATTGGGCTCCGCGGGGACCGAGGAAGGGGCAAACCAGATTTCACCGTGACCTTGCTAACCTGTGCCTTGTGTATTTCTAGCTCCCTCTCTGAAGAACGCAGCCCTCCTCGGTCCAGGGTAAGTGTAAGGGGTGTAATACTCCCTTTTGTCCTTGTTTTATCACCTATTTCACTTCTGGGTAATCTGCTCTTAGCTTTAGGCCGGTAATTACCTTTCTTTAGGTTATTTTGGAACGCTTCAAGTCTCATTCAAACATGTGTGCTCCTGTTACTGCCTGGAACACCGTTGTGTCACCTAATGTGTCCTAACTGAGCTAGAAACTGGTGTCCCCTAAGCCCCGCCCCTCTCCCTTGTGACCTTCAGCTAGGCACAGCTGCGGCATCCCTAGTCGGGGTTACTAGATTGCATACCCTAGGACAAGTTTTGTTAAATAAAACAATGAAGCATATTGTTTTTAATCTGCCTCCCAGATTCCAACTTTTACTGTCAGGTCAGAGAAATTATTCGTCGTTTCAGTAGATATTTATCTTGCCACCCACAAAACCGAACATAAAAAAATGAATAAGGTTAAGTACCTGCCTTCGTGGACCTCACACACAGTCTGCCAGAGAAGGCAGCTATAAAGTAGTAGTTTACAGTGAGGGTTCCAAAGCTGAAAGAGGGTACACCGGGCTCCTCCACTTACAAGTGGGACCTTACTGTGGGACCTTAATCTCCCCTTCTGCAAAATAGAATAGTACATTATGGATTGTAAAAATTAAGGGAATTAATTCCTGGGAACCCTAAAATCAGTGCTTGGTACATAGTATGTGCTTAGTAAATATTAGAAGGTGTTACTGATATTTCATAAAACATGTCAGTTTTCTTTGGGATTTCTCTTTTTACTTCCAGACTTAGTCCTAAATCTTGAAAAATTTGATAACAATCCTGTAGCTTGAAAAAGTGGCTTTGGTTTATCTGTAATTTTTGTATAAGCAATAAAGTGAGGCTATAATTGGCTGCTTCCAACTTCTCAGAGAAGAAAGATTCCATATAGACAAGTAAATAATTATAATATAGGTAATAAATACATTTACAAAACGCAAGGAACATCCTTGATTTCTCTTTCACATTTCATGTCTAATACATTAGTAAGGCTCTTTCTCCAGATGATATCCAGACTCTGACCACTTCTTTCACTACCACTACTACTGGAGTGTGAACCACCATCACGTTTCACCTAGGCTATTTCAGTTGTCTCCTAACTAGTCTCCTTGAATCTATATTCTTGTCCCATTACAGGCCATCCTCACAGTAACCACAGGGATTCTGTCAGTCCCCCCACCCTTCCCCTGCAGAACCCTCTAGAGCTGCCCATCCCACTTGAAATAAAATCCAAACTTATGATAACACAGAAAGTTCAACATGAGTTGACCCCATCCTACCTCTTGATTTACCTTCTTACATTCTCTTTTAAGCTCATTCTCTAGCCTTACTGGCCTTCTTGCTATTCCTCTGAAAACTGCCAAGCTTATTGTTGCCTCAGGATCTTTGTACTTGCTCTTCTCTCTTTTCCCCAGGTCATTGGCTCAAATGTCATCTGATCTACCAAAAAAGCCTTTTCCTCACTCCATTGCTCCTTAGCCCCTTCCTGCACCTATTTTTCTTCATGGCATTTACAACTGTCTGAAATTGTGTGTGGACCTATACACTCACACTTCCCAAACCCCCACTAGAATGTCAGAGGCTGGGACTTTGTCTGCTTATTGTTATATTCCCGGTGCCTAATATAAGTAGAAAGTCAGTAAATGTTTTTTTGAGTAATTGTCAACCCAAGATTGGAAGGCCTTTATAAAGGATATACTCAAGATGTTCTGAAGGCTGGTTGGTCTTGGCAGTCATTAAGTGAAAGGTATACGAGGCAGAAGGAGCAGCATGAGGTTTTTTTTTTGTTCTTTTTGAAAGCTGTAAGTAGTTCCATATGGCTGGAGAGTAGGAGAATGAAGGAAGATGAGGATATAAAATTTGACAGGTGCTGAATCACATATGCTGTATTAAGTAGTTTGTTTTCTGTGGGTAGGAGAGAGCCTGTTGAAGAGTTTTAAAGTCAAATTTACATTTTAAAAACTTTCAAAGCAGCAGGGAGGGGGCTAGGTTCAAGGGGGTATTTGAGGAGGAGCGAAGAGAACAGATTTTGGGTTACTTACTTGTTTAGGCAGGAGTAGATGAGGGCTTGAAGTGAGACAGCCAGTTAGGGAGAGGATTTGTGTTCCCCTAAAGCAAGTTCTTTAGTGCTATGATTTAAGTCATTGGTTCTCAACCTGGGGCAGTTTTGCCCTCCAAGGGACTTTTGGCAATGTCTGGAGACATTTTTGGTTGTCACCACTGGGTAGGAGGGGGGATGCTACTGGCATCTGGTGTACAAAGGCCACAGGGATCCTCCTAATTACTCTAAGTGCACAGAACAGCTTTCCACAACAAAGAGTTGTCAGTAGTTCAAAATGTCAATAGTGCTGAGGTTTAGAAACCCTGATTAAAATGAAAGAATCTTGAGCAGGATTCTCAGATTTCAAAAGTTGGTGAGGTAACTCAATACATTGGGAAGCAGAAATAATATTCAAAAGACAGGCAGTGAACAATAATCAGTGAAATAATGTAAACTCTTAACGTTGCAAGGAGATAAGAGAGAGGGGAGGGGAGGGACAAAAACATACTTAGAATTTGAAGGGGATTTAGCTCGACAGCAGATATGAAAAGGCTAGAGGATTTTATTTCATCAGAATCCTATGTACCAGTATGCTGTAACTGCTACAGATACAATCTTAGGCTACTTTAAAGATAATAGTTCGCAAATCTATGATAATAGTACAGTGGTTCAAGCCCAGTGATGGCAATAGCAAGTTCTCAATATGTATTGATATTTGTAGGATGAATGAATTAGTCAAGCTATATTTCAGTTCAGTATTATGTTCAGTTCTGTATACTTCATTTTTGTAAACAAAACCAGTTTGCTCCTTGTGGACAGTTAGGATTGTGAAGGAACTGAGATGTTTAACCCAGATACATGAGTGTTAACTTACATAGGAGAATAATATTAAAACCAGTGGATAGAGGTTTCAAGGATGTATGTAGCAGTTCAATTCAAAGGATGAGCATAGTTAGAGCTATCCAACACTGAAAAAGCATCTTTCACTTAGTGGTTATTTAGCACCCCAATACAGAGAATATTCAAAAAGGTCAAAGTTCTTGCCATCAGGGAGCTCACAACACAGTGGACATGTAATAGCTAACCACTTAATAAAACTTTACCATATGCCAAGCACTATTCTATATACTTTACGTTTATTAACTCAGTTAATCCTCACAGCAACCCTCTAAGGTCATATTCTTTGTTCCTACTTTAGACAAATCAGAGACTACAAAAGCATAAATTAAAATTTGAACCCAGATAGTCTGGCTGCAGAGTCTATGTTCTTACATAATTCATTGCTAGTAATAGACATATAAAGTGCTAGACAGATGACCCGTGAGACTTAACAGAAGGGATTCTGGTATTGGGTAGAAAGTTACATACAGCTTTAAGTAAGTTGTTTCCCCTTATCACACAGCTAATTATGGGACCCTAACCTTCCTGTTCTTGGTCTGTTCTGTTCCCATTAAGACAGTGGGAAACAGCCTCAATCCTCATCCCTGTTTGTTCTTTTCTACAGTTGTTCATACATTGTGTTCTCTTTAAAGAATAGGCTTTAAATTTGTGTAATTCCTACCTGTAGGGTATTGCAGGCAACAAGGATCTTTCACAAAGGGCAGCCAAGTCTTGCCCCTGTACCACCTCTTCCTGAATATGGAGGAAAAGTTCGTTTTGGGCTGATCCCTGAGGAATTTTTCCAGTTCCTTTATCCTAAAACTGGTGTAACAGGTGAGCATTTGCCCAATGTTTGATAGTATGTTTAGATGGTATGGTTTATGTTAATCTAGCGTTTTAGTGGTCTCTTAACCTCTTCCACATGTACCAGAAAAATCAAGTCAGTTGTTTTTAAAGTGTGGAAGTGATTCAATATAAGAATTGATTTGGTTGCTTTAACTTGTCTTTGGAATAAATTTGTTCGGGATTTTAACTTGATTTTATAACATTGTCTCCATTTCTTGTTACACCAAATTTATTGACTGCCTGCTCTATGCTAAGCACTGTTCTAGGCATACAGTGGTGAACTAAAGTGCCTGCCATCATGAAACATACATTCTTTTGTAGGATAGACAATAAGGAAATGAGTAACTGGGGAATTCCCTGGCGGTCCAGTGGTTAGGACTCGGTGCTTTCACTGCAGGGGCCCGGCTTCCATCCCTGGTCAAGGAACTAAGATCCTGCAAGCCGCACAGAGCGGCCAAATAAAACAAAATTGAGTAACTGTATAGTACATTTTCAGGTAATGATAGAAAGAGCTGTGGATTAAAATAAAGCCAGGTAAGGCAATAGAGACTCTGTGTTGTATGTATAATTACGAAAAAAAGAGCTGGACCATATTTATCAGGTTTTTTTTTTGCTTTTAAAAAAGCATAGGGACTTCCCTGGTGCCGCAGTCATTAAGAATCCGCCTGCCAATGCAGGGGACACAGGTTCGAGCCCTGGTCCGGGAAGATCCCACATGCCACGGAGCAACTAAACCCGTGCACCACAACTACTGAGCCTGCGCTCTGAAGCCTGCGCACCTAGAGCCCCTGCTCCGCAACAAGAGAAGCCACCGCAGTGAGAAGCCTGCGTGCCGCAACTAGAGAAAGCCCGCGCACAGCAACGAAGACGCAACACAGCCAAATAAATAAATAAATAAATTTTATTTAAAATAAATAAATAAAAAGGCATAAACTGTACTGAAACCTTACATTTTTATAATATGATATGCTTTCACTTTATTTAATCCATACAACAGTTCTACGAAGACTTTTTTTTTTAAATAAATTTATTTATTTATTTTTGGCTGCGTTGGGTCTTCGTTACTGCGTGCAGGCTTTCTCTAGTTGTGGTGAGCAGGGGCTACTCCTTGTTGCGGTGTGCCAGCTTCCCACTGCAGCGGCTTCTCTTGTTGCGGAGCACGGGCTCTAGGCACACAGGCTCAGTAGTTGTGGCTCGCGGGCTCTAGAGCGCAAGCCCAGTAGTTGTGGCGCACTGGCTTAGTTGTTCTGCGGCATGTGGGATCTTCCCGGACCAGGGCTCGAACCAGTGTCCCCTGCGTTGGCAGGTGGTTTCTCAACCACTGTGCCACCAGGGAAGCCCTATGAAGACATTTTTATTACCCAGAACTAGAAAACAAAGAATTTGCTGAGATTTATTCTCTCTTTAGTGACTGAGTTGGACTTAAACACGGGTTCTACAGTTTAGTGTTCTTTCTACTATATGCACTGCCTCTCTTGCTGTACCCAAATATTGCTATGACCGTGAAACACTGAAAACCAAAGTTGTTTTTTTTTTTAATCTCTCCAGGGAGTGGCCTAAGGTAGCATTTCTGTAACTAAAATTGCAAGAAACATTAATTTCCTCAGACCTCCATAGCTGATAAACATGCTACATATGATAGGCCTTTCTTATCAATTCACATTTAAAATTTATACATTGAAGGCAAATTTTTTAAAAAAATGAACTGTTGAAACTTTGTATGGGAAACTGGGTAAAATATATTTGAGAATGTAACCCTTTTATAAATAAAAGGGTTAGTACATCCTAACATGTTAGTACATCCTAACATCCTTTGGTACCTGTATTGCTCAAAAACACTGTAAACTGCTTCCCCAAAGACCTGCTTTGACCTTACCTAGCATCTAATGAGGCATAGAGGAAAATCCTAAAGAAATGTACCTTATGGTTTGTGTCCTTTCAGAATTCATGGCCTGGTTAAAGAAAAAGATGGCTATATTTGAAGCATTATAATAAGACACTACAGGAATTGAGAATCCTGTTATTTAGTTCTTTTACATACATGCTTCATAGTTGTATCTGTTTTGTTTGCTTATTTCCAGTGTCAGGTTCCTATTCAGTAAATAGGCAAGAGTGGATAAATTTTATTCTGACCAATGTCCCCACTCAATAAGTAGTATATTTTGCTGCACAAATTACTTCTGGAAGTAACCTGATATCTTTATAAAATACTTCCTGTTTGCTGAGCAATTGTACCAGGTACTTAATATACATTATTTCTCAATTTCATCAACCCTGTGAAGAAGGTACTATTCCCATATTACAGTTAAGGAAACTTAAGCTCAGAGATCATCTGTATTGCTCAGTGTTTTATAAGTTGCAGAGTCAGATTTCCATGGGTCCAGATCCTTGTTCTTGTAACCCTACCATCCTGGTTCTCATCTAGTGTTCCGTCTTTGAATCTGATTATTTAAAATCATTATTAACTTTGCCTTCAACTAATTAAATACGGAAGTATCTCTGTCTTCCCCTTTTAGACATAGCGTATCCATCATAAAATAACTTTTTCTTCTTTTAGGACCCTACGTGCTCGGAACTGGGCTTATCTTATATTTACTCTCCAAAGAAATATATGTGATAACTGCAGAGACCTTCTCTGCCATTTCAGCAATAGGGGTGCTTGTCTATGTAGTTAAAAAATATGGTGCCTCTATTGGTGAATTTGCTGATAAACTCAATGAGGTAAGAACCATAAACCTTATTGCCCATTTTAGACCATAGTAGTCGTGTGAAAGCCATCAAGTGATGTTTTTGGTATGAATGATAGGGGCAGAGCATATAGAAATGAATCTAATTATAATGATTTCAATTGTAAGTGTTAATGTTATTACTAACCTGAGATCAAGTTTTAAAAATCTACCAAACTTTCTCCAGCCTTTCCATAGTTTTGTTTATTCAACAAGATACTGCATAGCTATTTTGGGCAACTCTTTTTAAGGATTTGTATAGTTCTCCCTGTGTGTGGGTGTTTTCACAAATGAGGGGTATGACTTCGAGGAAGCATAAAATTAAACTTTTTTTATTACCCTTGGTACTTTCACTGATCTTTGTTGTAAATATCATAATTGCAGCAAAAAATTGCCGAACTGGAAGAAGTGAAACAGGCTTCCATCAAACAAATCCAAGATGCAATTGATCTGGAGAAGTCACAACAGGCACTGGTTCAAAAGCGCCATTACCTTTTTGATGTCCAGAGGGTAGGTTTCAGAACTTTCTAAGGCAAGTGAAGTTACTCATTTGTGTGCATTTAACACAAAAATTAGAATCTTATGAGGAATAGTTGGGTAAGTTGAGCATATTTTGTTTAGAAAAAAGAATATTTGGGTGGGGGTCTAAATAGCAGTTACAGCTATTAACTATACAGTGGACCTATCAAGTAGAAAAATAACTAGAATTATTACTCTAAAACTAGAAAGAGTAAAAAGTATAAAAGGACACATTTTGAATCCACACAGAGGGAAAATAATTCATTAAGTTATAGCAAGATTAAAAAATGGCATTCAGGGCTTCCCTGGTGGCGCAGTGGTTGAGAGTCCGCCTGCCGATGCAGGGGACACTGGTTCGTGCCCCGGTCTGGGAAGATCCCACATGCCGCAGAGTGGCTAGGCCCGTGAGCCATGGCCACTGAGCCTGCGCGTCCGGAGCCTGTGCTCCGCAACAGGAGAAAGCCACAACAGTGAGAGGCCCGCGTAACGCAAAAAAAAAAAAAAAATGGCATTCACTGTAAAATACAGTAGGGGAAATACATGCTGTGCATTTCATACATGCTCGCTATAAGAAAGTCTTACTTAACATACTTGCTATAAGAAAATCTGGTACCTTACATTCCAAATTCACAAAGCAAATTCAGATGGCAGGAGAGCTTTTTACTATGGTCAAAGCATAATTAGGTTCTAAAATATTTAGTTTCTAAAACAACTTTAGGAACGTGTTCAAGCGTTTTGTTGTTATTTACTTTGAGCCCAGTACTTTATGCCTGATATTTAAAGTGAGGTGAGCTTATTTTGAAATTTTATGTATAGAAACACCTATGAAATGAAAAATTAGGTGCTAAGGTAAAATAAGTATCTGAAATATTAAGGGTCTGGGCCAGTATTTCCTAGTGTAGTCTCGGTACCATGTGCATCAGTCATCTTTGATGCAAATTTTTGGACCCATTCCAAGACCTGTGAGATTAGAACCTCTGTTAGGAGCTATCCAAGAGTCTGTATTTTTTTTTAAATAGGATCCTGAGAGATTCTTAAGCACATAAATGTTTGAAATTCTCAGAAATTTTTAAAATATCTTTCCGTGCAGATTTAGGTTACAATCTAAATGCTTCCTGCCTCATAGAAACTATGTATGCCCAAACAAAATTTGGCTTTTGAAGATGTAGCTTTTTTATAAGATTCAAATGATAGTCATTAAAATTTTTATTTATTTATGAAATATTTAATAGGTATGTTTTATATGTGGACACTGGTCAAGACAAGGTGCTGGGAATACAGCAGAGAGCAAAACAAAGTCTGCCTTCCTGGGGTCTCTCTCCTAGCCAGGGGTTGAGAGAAGGAGAGGAGAAAAATAATTAAGCAGATGTGAATGTCAGCTGGTATGAAGTACATGTAGAATAATGAACTTATGTTAAAGGAAAAGAGATTCTAGAAGGAGGAAGTTACTGTTTTTATTGGGCAGGCTAGAAAGGCTTCTAATGTGATATTTGAATAGAGACCTGTCACAGTGATGGTTCAGGCTGTGTGGATTTCTGAGGAAATAGTATTCCAGGCAGAGGGAAGAACAATTGCAAGAGCCCTAATCCTGGAAGCTTGCTAGGTATAGACAAGGAAAAGTAAGGAAGCCACTGTAGCTGAAGTGGAATGAGTGAGGAGGAAGGTAAAAGGAAGCAAGGCAGAGAGTGGCCAAGGGCTAGGTCATGTAAAGTCTTACCGGCTTCTGTGAGAACTTTGACTTGTACTCAGAATGAGAGAGAAAGTCATTGAATCTTTTAGGCAGAGGAGTGATACGATCTCGCTAGTGTTTTGAAGGGCGACTCTGATTGCCTTGTTGAAAGTAGCCTTCAATCTTGTATGCATTGGTTCGAAATGCCAGTGAGTTAGCCAAATAGAGTTGTTAGGTAGACCATTAGATATATGAGTCTGGGGCTTCCCTGGTGGCGCAGTGGTTGAGAGTCCGCCTGCCGATGCA